GTTCACGTAGTAGAGAAGTAATTTCTAGAGGTATTTGACAATAACTGTCCGAGGACCATGATTCAAGTGAAGCATATCGACTTTGTGTCAGATACGACAGTCTACACTCGCTATGATATGATCGCAATATCTCTAGTCATCCGAGAAAGACGACGTCCAATCGTCTATATGTAATCGATATTAAGCACCAAAACAATACCAGCTTGGCGATGCTAGAGTAAGGCTAACACATCGCTGATTGCGGTACGATTTGTCGGCGGCAAGAACTAAATAGCTGCCGCAGGATAAATCAACAATTGCTGATAAAAATATATGTCCACGCAACTTAAACAAAAAAACAATTGAAAGCTGGAACACTCACGGTCGACGAGTTTCTGCAGACCTCGCAGGGCAACCAGGAAGAGATGGAATTGCTTTTTTCGCAACAGTATCATCTCGTCATACCTTTCATTGATACGCTGAAGACCGGTCAGTTGTTCTTTCAGTTTGGTTATCTTGCTATCGAAAAAATGTATGCAAGAGTCAAACATTGAGGAATAGGCGGCCTTCGGTCAAGTAAAATAAGACAAACAGTCAAGGAAAGCGTGGGAAGAATATCTTGGCAAACTAAGGGATGCACAAGCAGCAAGCATCAGAAGATAAATGATGAGGTTCAAAATTAAAATAACATTTGCTTTCCTTTTTGCAGAAGTTGCCTAAGACGAACAGTCCACTACAATAAAAGTAGGGACATAAAATAGCTGCATGACTTGCTGCCACATATTCCTCAGATATAACTGATCATTAAATGTACCGGCAATATAAGTCCGTTAGTGAATACTTTAATTTAGACATCAATCTATGTGCTAATTAACCCAGTCTAACCACTTTTCAGTTCCTAGTTGATAGAGAAGGACTGAAGTAACCTGATTAAAAACCAGGTCTCAGGAAATCTCAGTGAAGTAAAAGCATATACGCAAGAAAACGGACCCTTACCACAACGTTTCCTTTCTATTGGGGTGCTCGTTGATTATTTTAGCGAGATTGTGGTACTCTGAAACAAAGTTAGATAAACCATCACCTCCGTTACCTTGACGGTTTTTCCTTATAACCCTTGCTTCCTTTAGTTTTTCCCTGGATTCTACTATCTTCAATTTTGTATCTTCTGTGTCATGTTCTGGAAAAGGAGAATTTAGAAAAACGAGGCCAATTACTAATCTCTTCAAGTAATTCGTCATACTTTTGAGACTGTTCAAAATTCATTGAATGAATCAAAAGGGCTTGTTCCATGGCGTTTTCACACTGAGACACACTAGCCATTAGGGAATTATAAGTGAATTGGCTAAAATTTTAGCGAACAAAAATTAGACATACCTATCCTCCTCTGATTCATCACATGAAACCCAGCGCAAAAAGTTTTTCAACAGAAGCGTGAAGCGTCGATCGTCATTTCCACTTTCACCCTCAATCAAAAGTCTCCTCTTTATGATATCATCTGTAACGGTCAAGATAGAAAAATTCTACAAACCGTCAGATATACTGCCCATGAGGGATACCAAGCAGAGAACTGAAAAAATCCGACTATGTAGGAAGAAAGCGAGACCCTTCAACTATGGATGATACAGCGGAGAAATCAAGAATTTCCGAACTGCAAAAACGCGTTCGCCTTCGATTTTGCCTACTCTGCTAGAATTTCAGTCTACTAAAACCTGGCTGGAAATATTTGGTTAACGGTTTTAGCCGAAAGACCTCCCGAACAGGTGTTTTAATGACTTATTTTAACGAAGTTAATTAAATTTTGCGAACACTTTCGTCCCAAGTTAAAGTTTTGGGTGATACTGGCTGGTACTTCGTACGGTTATGCTTG